CGCCCAGACAATGATTGCTACCACAGCTGAGAGGGCCTTCATGAGGACATTAGAGGGTGGTTGCTCTGCGCCTGTGGCAGCTCATACAAAAGTAAGGCTAATTTTATTATTTATTTATTTATTTTTATTTATTATTTATATATATATATATTTTATTATTATTTTATTATTATTTTTTTTTTTTTTTTTCTTTTTTTTTTTTTTTTTTTTTTTGAGTACATAATCTTTGCTCCTGAGGGTAAGGAAAGTATAAATAGTGACCTTTATATCCTCCAAATATTGGTATTATTTTTGAAGGGTATATTTAAGATAATCATGATCATATTTGGGACATTTCCAGATGACAGATGACAGCATTGAGCTGAAAGGTGGAGTCTGGAGTCTGGACGGATCAGAGGAACTCCTCAAAACCCAGTCAGTGTCACTTCAGGCAGCTGATTCCACTGATGGCATGCAACCTCCTGCAAAAATGGCAAAGACCTCCCTTACTCTTTGTGGCATTGTGCCCCATCCAAAGTATGCTGAGAGCATGATAAAAGCACATGGACTTGGAGTAGATCTGGCCACTGCATTGTTGGAACAAGGTGCTGAAAGGATCTTGAAAGAGGCCAAGGCTGCAAATGCTGCCAGTGCCCCAAATGTTCCACCACAGAAAGTAGCTGTTCTTAGTGAATCTTTTCAAGAGAAAGACGAACAGACAGTTCAGAGTTCATAGACTGTGTTTTAGGCTGAAATCCGTAGTAATGAAATTATATTCTTAATGAATATGTATACATATATATATATATATAATAGGAAATTAATGACAAATATGAAATTGATTGACAAACTGTATATTTTTTATGATGGAGACTGTGATCAATTTGCTCTTTGTATAATACTTCTAATATGTATATAAGACTTATGACTCAATACCAGCTTACAGCATAAGCAGATGTCTTTGTGATAGAGCTGTGCCTTTTTGGTAGCTGTTGTATATTTATGTTTCTATTATAAGAATATCTGTCAGAAATATTATTATAAGTACATATCAAAGATCTGACTTGTAAAAAAAAGGGAAAATGAAGGAAATACCTCTTTCCATTGTCCATTGTTTGCTGCAGCAAATTGATTGGTATATTTGCCTATAATTGTGTCATTTTTCATGCTATTGTTGTGTTCACATCCACAATAAATATGAACCATGAATTAACATTATATAGTGCTGTTGTGTTCTTTATATTGTGTTCTTGGGGCAGATTGCAATATTAATTTTTAGTAAAGGTACTTTTATGTAACTTTTCTTGTCTTCCATAACTGTGAAGAGTATGAATGTTGTTGAGCTGTACTTAATTTATTGTTTACTGTCAGATAGTTTCATGACATAAAAATGGTGACTTTCCAGTGATTTGATAATAGTAAATTTTAAAATTAATCCATTGATGCTAGCTATTTGTACTGTTCTCTGTAGTTTTGTTTTGTGAATTAAAAAAAAAGTACTATTGACATTATTACTGTTATTATTTATAATTTATTGTTGTTGTTATTATAATCATTATCATTTATTTATTTACTACATAATAATAATTTTGATGTTAACATCACTAATAACAATAATAATAAAATATAAAGTTTTGCAAAAATCAAGGAAAAGGGAAACAGGTGATATTAAGTACGACTAGTAACTGATTTCTTGGTGAATAAGCATTTATTGAGCAATCAAAAAAAAGAGAAAAGAAAAGAAAAAGAAGAGTCAAAGTAGACATAGCAGATGAGTATAGTATATACCATCAAGTGTCAACAGGTCAGTGTTACTGTTTGGAATATAATAAAATGACATTTTTGTGTTCAATGTACTTTTGAAGTATTAAAATGATATTTGTATGAATCTTTATTATGAAGCACAATGTTAATGACTGATTTTAGGTTCTTGAAATAGAGAACCATAGAATTTAAATTTGTAAAAAATGGTGAACAGTACACATTAATGAATTTATCTTGCTATTAAGGTTATGCTGCAAATACCTTCCCTTTCTCTTGAGTGTTCGGAGAATGTTTATTTAGAACAAAAAAGAACAAAATTTATATTGATTTTTTAATAGAATTATTATTAATTATCTAATATTATCTAGGCAGTTTGTATGTCATTATGAGCACATACTCAAGAGCGATGGTGATAATGTTTATTCAAAATGTACTACCTATTCTACACAATTATATCTGGTTTATATTACTCCTTTACATATTATCATATATATTTGTCTTGTTCAAAATTTTACATACCATGTGGTGCTAGTTTACTTTTATACTAAAATCTTTGCAAGCATCATATTTTTTTGTTTGGTTTTATGCTGTCCTTTATAACTTGACTCTGGTTTGAGAAATACAGAAGCATTATTTGAAGAGAAAGTAGTTATATTAACAAAAAATGTTAGAATGCTTATTGTATTTATTTTAGAATGTTTGATTTAGGTTGTGAGTATGGAATGAATTATGCCTTTGATTTTTTTTTGCCATTTTTTTTAAATAATCAACCACATGGTTCAATGCAGGACCAACAATGCAGACAGATTTTGTAGTTTAAGAATATTATTTGGGTTGGGATTTGTTCACTTTATCAAGCAACAGATGACTTTGTTGTGGTTAGAGCAGACAGTGACAGTGGCAATCCATTTTTTTTATTTATTTATTTTTTATAGGCAGGATTGGCCTTTTATTATTATTTTTTTTTATAGGCAATTGGCCTTCTCATAGCGTAGCACATAGCACAAGTTGCATATCTTCCCATACTTATTGTTCAAGCTGATTATTTTTTATGCACTCTACTTAATAATTGTTTGAACATCCATTATGGTTGTCATAACAGGTATCACAGCATATTGGATCTTGCTGTGGCATTATAAAATGAAACCTTTCTGTTATCACTGATAATGGACTTTTTTGTCGGAACAGTTCAGTGAATAAATTAGTAAATGAAGTCTTGTTCTTTTTTATCATGTTTTTTTGTAAATTATCAAGCTACATAACTCGCTGTGGTGATGATGCCAGATTATAACTATGTGAATGGTGTTAGGAAATCAACTGCGGATTGATAAAAAGCAGTTTCATTCACTTTAGTTTAAAATAATAATCTGTAACCTGCCCTCTGACTTGTGTATGGGTGATTTTGGACATCTTGCAGCAATTATGCCATAAATGAAGCTCTAAAATATATGGAAGAAAACATTCCCTTTCCAGATTTACCTCCTCTGTATCTGGTGTTAGTTACTCACTGGTATGACTACAGTTGACAGTACCCTTGTTTTATGATGTGAAAGTAAACCAGACTGAAATAAATAGATGAGCATGAAGTAGGAGAATCCTTTTGATGCAGTGTTGCCAGATTTACCAGGACGAAACTTTCATATGAAATGATAATAATAAATATCAAATAAATCAATAATGGAATTGTTGCACCGTCTTCTTTGTTACTCTTGATATCTAAAAATTATAATACTGGGTTAACTATGAGACACTTAGGGCATAAGCTCTTACTCCAAATATTTTGAAAGAAAGTATTTATGTAATTATTCTAACCTTATATTCCCTAAAGCATATATAATAAAAAAAGAAAAAAAAAGGGGAAAAAATGTAAATATTCATTCAGAAGCAACAGTTAAAAAAAAAAAAAATCATGAACACTTTATGTACCTTTGAATAAGGAGAGATACCAAGTAGGGTTTAAAACAATTTTTTTTTTTATAAATTTGTACATTTTATTAAAGTCCTCATACAAGTTGAGACTTCAAAATTTCATCAGAATCCTCGTTATCTGGTAGTTATAAAATATAGACACAAAACTGTAACTGTTGTCAAAACAGTATTAGATAAAATTGAATATATATGAATAATTTTAGATGCAAGTAGAAAGACATGTGTATCCATTTACATATTTCATATACATTTTGAAAAATGACGAAGTAAATTACAGTGTAATAAATTTTGTAATGGTATAGGGGAATGATTTTGCTTTAAAATCTACAATGCAGCAAGTTTTACACCAATTACTTTACCCATTATCTAAAAATCAAGGTGAAAATGACTTCACTGGTTTGTGACAACTGATGATAGACAGGTTGCTATGCTGGTTGTGAGAATCATTTGGTCTTGCTAAAAATAAGTGTATATATACAGCCTCACATAAATATCATTCCCCATGGAATACAAATGGAAACACTTCGTAACTTAGTAACAATCTTTTATACTGCTCCTAGAATTCACCTATTTACAGAGTTCTCACATGAATGAACATGTTAAATATAGGAAAGCATGATTCTATTAACCAACAGCACAAAAAAGGAACTATAATCATAATAAATAACATACTGAAATGTCTATTTCACTGGCTTTCCATTCCTGCTTAATTAGAAATTATAGGCATCTATAAATTAAATATGATTCCCATTAATCCAACCCCTTTCCTCTTTTTTTTTTATTAAACAGAGTAGAAAAATATATTTACATACTACCTGCTTAAGAGGAAATACTTCAATCAAGAAAATAGTTTCTAAAATAAATGTGACTACCCTCAATATTCATCAGTCTCCCTGACTCTTGAACGTGTGAGACAAAATCTGAAGTATCTTATAAGAAACATAATGAAAAACAACAACTTAGAAGTGGTCAGCGATTAAGAACAACAAACAAAATATAAATAACAAAATAATATTACTATAACAGAAAACATTCACTCCTCTTTTCACTATCTCCATCCTGGTATGCTTGTTTGATTTAGCCTGGAAAGTAAAATTATGCAAAATACCCTAAACATTGAGATCCATCCTTTCTGTTTCTGTACTTCTTTTGTAAATTGTTAAATTCTGAGTCGGCCATTTAACGCAGAAAGAAGATGCTAACCGACAATGAGACAAAACCCTAGAACCAAAGTGCGTCTTCTTCATCCGGTGGAGGTTCTTGCACTTGTTGTTGTGCTTGGTGGCCAGCCTCATCATCAGAGTCTGACACTTCTAGATCGTTGTTAATGGTTGCATCATCATGAGGCTGTGGAACAGACAGATGCTTGATGAGATTCTATAGTGAAAAAAGTGTGGATAGGGGGAAAGGGAGTAAAAGAGGGTAATAGATGGGAAAGCAAGGGAGTACACAGGTTTATTCTAAATCTGATCCTTAAAAACAACAACAAGAGACACAACATTTTCTTGGAAATAAAATACTTCCATGTCCCCAAAAATAGACTTACCTGTGAAGGCATCATTCCACCAAGAAACTCCACAGAGGGGTCATAACTAGCATCCACCACCATGGAGTTGTCCCCGACCAACCCATCTTGATGTTCGTCTCCACTTCCTTCACCCTGCAGAGGATGGTAAGTTACAAAACAGATTATCCACAGAAAGATGTTCTGAATCAATTTCTAATCAAAACCAACTGACACTTCATCAGGATAGAATTTAGAAATGGAAATCAATTTGACTGTCTTTCCTTTCCTCTTGGATAACATTTAAGTCATATATCACAATTTACCTGATAATAAGAGTACTGAGCAGCCAACTGAACCATGGCTTCTGCTGCACCCTGTGTTTCATCTGGCCCTTGTGGGTTGATGTACTGTCCTTCTTCCAGAACCATTCCTGCTGCTAAGTCCCCTTCCATCTCCACTGGCCTCCTGCCCCCAAAGTCTTCCTCATCATCACTAAACTCAAGATCTGAAACAAAGTTTTCCAAATAAGCTTTAGGATCCGGTTGTCTTCTATCTAATTTTGTAGTTTGTATATCAAACTTACCTAGACATTAGTGCATTTATGTATGACTATAAATGACTGTGAATAAGAGTTATGTGTATACCAACAGTTGTAAGTACAATTCCCCATACCTTCTTCAAGTACATTCCTCTGGCTTTCCTGAACTCTTCTTCTCTTGGCTGACGGCATCATATCCTCTTCATCACCATCAACAACATTCACATGCTCGTCATCCTCATCTCCTAAAAATAATCAACCAGGTGTATCAGAGTTAACCAAGAAAGCACATACTATAAAGCAAATCTCTTACTGGGAAAAAAGAAGAAAAAAAGTTGGCAACCACTCACTGTTTACAAAAAACAACAAAAAAACACTAGGATATCACATATATGCATGTTGACTAGCAAAATACAGTTTATAAGACAAATCAGGCAGCTTGTATCTTTCCTTTCTCACTCAGATTTATGCAACATTACTATTCACGACTAACCATACAAACCTGAATAACCCATCATGTTATCAGATGGAGAACCAAGTTGTTGGTCTGGGTGGTCTTGTTCTGGCTCAGCATAGGTATAGTTCGTGTCATCATCTGGGCCTAGAGAGGTACCTAGGGAGTCTGTTTCTGCCTGTTCCAGTGCTCGTTCTTGTGCAAGTGAAATTTTCTTCTCCAGGCTGTCTAGGTGTGTCTCATACTGTCAAAACACAGGGATGGGTTAGCCTGTGAGATATTTTTGTGGTTTTCAAGTTCCAAATTCACAGTAAGAATGGGTTAATCATATACATCTAATATAAAATTGTTACTTTCAAATCCGAAGTAGAAGAGAAAAAGGGAATGAACATACCTCAGCCAAGCTTTCTTTACACACTTGAAGGAGAGTCTCTGCTTTTTGTGTAAATGACGAATCCTGGCCATTGTATCGCACACTGTTGGTCAGGATCAGCTCCATGTCAGCCATGAACTCTGCTCGGCTATGGTACTTATGATCTGATGAGAATATTAGTGATTTGGCTAAATAACTCACAAGCATGAAGGTAACTGACTGCATAATACTATTATGCAATATAATAAAGAGAAACTCCTTGTCCTTTCAGCCACTAATTCCATGATGGTAACAGCAGCAGTAAAAATATAATATCATTACTATATACAATATATATATAATATATATATATACTATATATATATATATATATATATATATATATATATATATATATATATATTATATATAATATATATATATATATACACATTACAAACAACTTTAAGTGAATAAAACATATTGCATATATTGATAACTGTCCTTACTTTTCACTTTTTTAGCAATTGTTGAAAGATCCATGGGATTCTGAATTATTTCATAATAGTCTTTAACATTTTTCTTGTTCACAGGCTTCATGAAAGGCCATGACTCCTGCATTGAGAACAGCTTCTGGTTCACAATGTTATCTAAGATGTAATCAAATGCAACCTGCGGAAGAAAAGACATTTCTTAAAAAGAGCTTAACAATGCTTGAAAACCTTTCCAGAAAAAATATAAAATATAAATGCAGTAAAATCTAAAAATCCATATCAGTGTTTTAAAAGATGCCACTACAGTGAAGCTAACAATCTTCTCCAAACAGAAGATATAAGAGACTGACAAAGAGAAAGAGATAGAAGAAGAAAAAATGCTTATAATGAACCAAATAAAATAACATCAAACCACACACATTCCAGAGTGTAAATCTTCCCCTGAACCTTACCTGGTCATCATCATCCAGGAGTGGGTTGATG